GGAGGGGGGGGCTGCGGAGGCCCGGGAGGCCCCGCGGGGGAGGGGAGCCCTCCCTGCTTAGGGGCTCCCGAGGGAGCTCGCGGCGGCCTGAGGCAGGAAGAGCAGGAGGAGATTTAGTAGAGGCCAAAAGACCCCAAGTAGGAAGAACTCAGGGCAGAAGGTTGGGGCGAGGCTCACTTTTGAGCGCTTTCTGGCTAAATAAAGCCTGGAGAGCCCAGCTCTGTGTGCTGCCAGTGCCCCGCACTGCCTCGTTCTGCATCTCTGTCCCACAGCTATTTTGCTCGTCTTTTAAGTCCATCGTCATGGTGTCCTTCCAAACAACGTGCAGCAACTTAAAAGGCCTCTGTTCCAGACGAGGGGTACTGTTGTGTGTTCTCCTGTTAAAACGGCGCTGTATTACAGCTTTCTAGTTAGTCATCTAATTTGTGCAATAAATTAGTTGCCATGATGTCTGTTTAGAAGCTAAGCTCGGTAAGTTTATTTATTTATTTTCTCCAGTTCTTGCAAATGGAAAAAAAAAAAAAAAGCTGGACTTTGGTGTGAGCTGCTCTGCCAGTGGTTGAGGAAAAAATCTTCCTTCAGACTGAGTGAACGTACATAAAATAATGAGTTGCAATAAGCACAACAGCTTTAATGAAAACATGAGCCAACTTAACTAGCTTTAAAAAACGTTTAAATTTTCCGTGATAGCTCTTTGGGGTGTAGACACTGAAGCTGCTGTGCTTGTGAGGGAAACATGACATTCCTTAAAGCTGAACCTCCTCCCTTGGGTTCCCACTGAATGCCTGAGAGATGAGAGCACAGGGTGTCTCCAGAAGGCTAATATTAAACACAAGGAATTAATACGGAGGGAACAGGCAGTGAGATTCCGGTTTTGACCACAGAATGAGCTAAAAGGCTTTTTTCAGCAGCAGCTACGTGCAGTTTCTTACTCATGCCCCATAGGCAGCTGCTGTTCAAAGGATCCTGATGTGTCTGCATGTTAGCAGGTGCTCTTGCCCCGTGTGTGGCGTGCGAGGGAGACGCTTCTCTTAAAGACAGAGGGTGCTGAGGCAGCTTGACAGGATGAATTGCTCTCGGAAGGGCAGGCTGCGTCCAGCCTCGCCTGCAACTACTTTACTTGTCTGAAATACGCAGCAATTAAAGCCTGCAGAGCGAGGATCTGATGTGCAGACATGGAAGGAATTCAGAAAAGGAGCGTGAAAGAGCTCATGGCAAAGGGGGAGAGTTTGCTGTAAAGCTCAGAGCAGGCTCTGGAGAACTCTAGGAAAGGGTTTTTAGCCGGTATGCTCCCTATTTTTAACTCTGATGCAATCATATGACAAGTTGTTTCAGCAGTTCATGCCAGGTGCAAGTCGGCAGTGAGAGGAAGTCCCCGGCTGTGCCCTGGTGCAGCCGCCGCACCCTTTCCTGCCACCCTGTGCCATGCGGCCCTGGCAGCTGCGAGGAGAAGCCGCAGGGAGAGCCTGAGCACCCAGGGGCACCACACTGGGTGCCCTCAAACAGAGCGCCCGACTCGTGGAATCGCTCTCGACAGCACTGACGTTTAGCTGCACCTCAGCCTCCTCTGCCGTGAAAGGCGGCCCTTGCTGCGCTCCTCACGTGGGTGCTCGGGTTCAAGATCCTCACTCACCGCAAACGGCTCTTCAGGGCAGCCTGCAGAGAGGAAAAGGGCACGGGTTGTGTTGCATTATTGCTGTGCTTCCCAGGACAAAGATTAGGCAGGATTCGCTGCCGCACCAGAGGGTGAACGGCTGGCTTGGATAGTTGGAAGTAAAAGCACAGCACTGTTTTTGAATCCAGTCCTTTTTATCTGCATAGAACCTTTTATCTTCCTGTTCCCTGCCCCAATGTTTGTCTTGCGTTGTGATTCCACATGTGCGAAATGTGCCTGGCTGCGTGGGAGGCACCAGAGCCCCATGGTTAGTTCATTCTATGTGACTTTACACTTGCAGAAAAGGGCTAAAGGAAACACTTGGCCTCAAATACCATTTTGGGACATTTTTGTGCTGACTGGGATCATGTATTTAATGTGGTTCCTGAACCATATTGTGGATCTTGATTCTGTAGCCGCGCGCAGGCGGGGGCCGGGGCTCGAACCCGCCACCGAGGGAAGACCCGGCCGTGAAAACCCCGCCTCCGGTGAGGCTCCGCCCCCAACGCCCTCCTTCCACCACG